CTCCGCCTCGTGGTTCATCTCCGCAGGGAAGTCCGCTGAGGCCAGAATGGCCGCCGATCTCCAGGTAATGCTCATCCTTGCCTTCGTGGTCGTAGTCGTTGTTGTCCAACCACACGACCTTCATGCCCGAAGAGGCTGTCCATCGGGCCGCCGAATGATTCTTGATCTCGAACATGTCCTCACTGTCCCAGAGGTTGTCATCAACATTGGCCTCAATAGCAACCCGCCGTCCTGAACTGACTTGCTCCCAGATGAGCTCCTGTAGGCAAAGGATGCGTTCACGTAGAACTCCGCCATGGATCCATAACATGGAAGGCCTCAAGGTCCTTATGGCCTGCTCAGCCATACTGACACCGCCCTCGGTGGCCAAGTCCTCCTCGCCAAAGGGGCTCCACGAAGTGATAGTTGCGGTCTGCGGCCTCGATGGTCTTTTGCAGGCCACCCAATTCGAACAGAGCCGAGTCCCACCTCCATCACCACATCCCGTCAAAGACATAGTGCTCGCTGCCAGGATAGACCACGTTGCCAAAGCTCCAACACGCTTTGCGTTCTTCCACAAAGTCCGCCTCATACTCCTTCTGGGTCGGGCTTCGCTGCCACTACGCGGTCTTTGTCCATGGCCGCGTTGGAGAGGAAAACCATAGCTCCTCAGAGCGTCTTTAAGGGTGTCAGACACATGAGGAAGGCTCCTCCCAGTGTACATAGCCAAACACCACCTCGTTCCAGTCCAGGCCTCGGTGCAATGTGGCCGCCTCGCGTCAAACTCGAAGATGTTCTCCTTGGTCTCCTGCACGGTCCTTGTTCCAAATGACCTTGTCAGGAGCGAGGTCGTCGCGGTCGTTCTTGTCAGATGCCAACCAGAGTCTGCCCCCGGAGAACCTTCCAAAAGAGACCGTCCTGCTTTTCGACCCCTTGAGGTTGTGACAGTCGATGTGGACAGAAGTCTGGACGTTCTTGGCGAGGTAGAAGGAGCTCCATTCTTCATACCCATAGTTCCGAAAAAAGACATTGAAGTACCTGCAAGTCTGGGGGAGCATCGTGGTCCCCTTCGTGATCCCGTGCTTTCCTCCAAATTGCCAGAGCCCTCCAATGAATACGAACTCACCCGCCTCCAAGTCGGCATCCTTCTTGTGTCGAGCTCGCTTTTGCTTGTACTCGTCAAGGTGGTTGGCGATCTTCTCGAGCATGTCATAGGAGAAGTCGTTGTTGGAAAGAGCCATGCTCGCCAAGTCCTCAACAGAGTTGTTGTCCGCGTAGGTGTCGAGGAGGGCGGCACCCACCACATCATGGACCTCGGAAGAAAGCCCGCATTGATTCAGGAGGGCCTCGTCCAGGGCGAGCCCAACAATGCGGCAGAACTCGCTCTGATATGCACCAGCTGCCCTTGCTCTTGGTCCTCCTCCAGGAAGAGTCCCGACTACATGCTGGTAGGTGGTCCTTCGGGCATTTTCGTGACAAAGGACCTACACAAGCTCTTCAACCGTGACCTTGAGGCATGTCCTTTTCTGGATTGGGGTCGGGACGCCCTCGTCATCGAGAAGGGTGCTGCCAAAAGCGCATTGATCAAGATCGACAGTGTGGCCGCCCAAACTCTTAAAGGCAGGTGTTCTCCAAGCCGAAGACGTCCACGGGTGCTCGACGACCCCGATCTTCCTTCGCTTGAGCTGGCCCTTGTAGATGCGGCGCGCCAATGACAAGTTGGTCTTGTGGTCGAAGCTCCTCCGGGTCCAAAGGACCTCAAGCGCGTCAAGATCCTTGTTCCAAGTCTGTAAGGGCGAATGGTGGTGCAATCCACACTATGTCGGGGGCCTCCTCGATGTAGAGCTTCCACAGTTTGCGGCGGTCAGAGGCCAACTCGAAGTTCCATTCTGGAAGGTCGAACCTTCGCACATCATAGCCGAGGCGCTCCATGAAGTCTGACAGACCTCCCTTGCCAGCATAGATCTCCCAGAAGACGGGCCGCCTGTCGCGCTTGATGTGATCACCGCCGCAGTGCATGTAGCTCTCGGCAGACTTGGTGGTCTTTCTCGCGGTCGTGGTTGGCTTTCTCCGGCATGGCCTTCTCTCCTCCGCCCTTCGATGTTGCCGGGAGCGGAACCATCGAATTGATCTCCGGGTCGTTGACATAGCCGTGGGTCGTGGTCGTCGTCATGTCCTGCTGCTTCTTGGTCTTGGCGTAGTTTGCCAGCCTCTTCAGGTCCTCGGAGCTGTTGGGGTTTACTCCCGTCTCGGCAATGCTCTAGTCCAGGTAACCCTGAGGGATTTCCCTGTAGAGCCACCCCTTGTATCTCCCGAATGGGAGAATCGTCTCGTCCGCATCAGCAGGCCACGGGTCGCCTTCTCGGGCACGGCGATGTTGTGGCTTTGTGCCATCTCCCAGAGTTGAGGCAACGTCATTGATCTGATGCCCTTCAAGTTGGCCTCGGGCTCCGCGTGTCCAGCTCGGCTCGATGTTCCCGAACTATCGACCGGATCTCCTCGAGGTTCCATCGCGGGTTGACACAGAGGCCCTCTCTCACCGCCTCGGCAAGCAGTTCTGTCTTGTTCATGCTCCAGAGCTTCTCCCTGCGCGGCAGCGTCTGAGGAGGAGAGCGATCCATGCTTGGTTCGAGGGCTTACAGAGAGGGAAGGCACCATAGGTCTCCTAGAAAACGCTTTTGCCAATCCAAAGCACCGGATGAGTACCATGATCATCTTGCTTCCAAGGTCCATGTAATGGAGGAAGGCCCTTATGCGCACCACATGTTATTCCCCAAGTACTCCTTACTAGCCCCAAAACGTCGAGGAGTGCATTCTTGTGCTCAATGTTCGGAGTGCTCCATGCCAAAGGATTGAACAAGGTTCTCCTAGGGACAACGTGAACCCTCACGAGGCTAGTCTTGGTCTCAATCCAAAAGTCCTGACTGATGCTCGTGTCCTTCCACCACATGGAAAAGGAGTGCTCGCAGAAACCGGGCATGGTCAACATGTTGTAGACAGCTGGGGAAATTTTCTTGGGGTAGAAGATCTTTGTATCGTTGTTGGGAGCTTCTAGCCAACCAGACTGGTACTTTTCAACACTGGACTGTAACATGTGGACCTCATGCGCAACATCATATTGCGGACTCTTCGGAGCAATCTGAATCTCGATCCCGGTGGCGCTCCAATCGTGGGCCTGTCCAGGGTGAACCTTCCAAACAGCAGGCACAAGAGGCAGAGCAGGGTGCCCTGTCTCAGTGATCAGCAAAGGAAAGGACTTCAGGTTCAAGGTGGTGAAGTCCGCGACGTTCCGAGCCACATCGAAGATCATCCCCATGTTGCCCAGGGCCTTCTTGCGCAAGAGGAGAGGGACATCACCCTCGACAATAGCCGTCTTAACCTGGACAATGGACTCACCCAAGGTGAAGGCAACAACCACCGAGTACCTAGACTCAAAGATCTTGGAGGCACCAAACTTGAACTTCTCGACCCCGTTGACAAAGACAGGCCTTCCGCCGCCATGCTTGTCCACCAGCTGAAGGTAACGTTCCAGCCACGGAGCCCCAGCCGCAGATCGTGAGCACGCCGTGTCCGTGATGGCCGTCAGGTCGTCGGTGGTGCCCTCGTTCAAATCCCAAGTCACGTGCACCACGTGGCATTGGTAGGAGCTCTTCACCCCTGACGAGGGACCATTCGCATTGGCCTGGGATCCGGAGGTTGCCAAGGTCGACGCTCCTGCGTTCTTGGCCTGATTCAAAGGGCATTCGCTGTCACGGTGCCAGTGCCCCTTTCTCTTGCATCCTGCGCAAAAGCTTCGAGCTTTCGCCAGCCGCAGCTTCTCCTCAGAGACCTTCTTCAGGTACGAAGGATCCGTCCCTCGTGATTTTGCCAAGTCCCGTACTTGGCCTTGGCATTCTCGTGGGTCATGTAGGCCTCGTAGAGTTCTTCAGCAACTTCCTCGGGGATGGGCGTGTCATCGTCGTCCTGGTCGATGTCATCGTTCAGGTAGGGCTGGTCGTCGTTGAAGTCGGTGTAGACATCTCGTGTGCGGTTACGCCACCACTCGCCCTTGTTGTTGTGCTTGCCTTGCCCTTTTCCACCATTCTCCCACGGCTTCCGCAAGGCACGATCCTGAACGATGGCCGCCCGCTGGAGCAGCCGAAGGTCATAGACGTTCCCAACAGAGGCAAGGAGGTTCAGCTCGGCGGACTCCTCGAGCTGCATCCGATCCACAAAGACCCATGCCGCCGCGATGTCGGGCAAGGAGCGCCCACCCAGAGATTCCAAAAGCC